AAAAAGACATATAGCTGTACAATATACTTTTTAGCCAATTACTTAGTAAATAAACAAACAAACAAATAAAATATATTACAACCTTAATGTGCATTAAAATTTATTACAATTTATATATATATGTATGTGTGTGTGTGTATATATATATATCAGCTTTATTCTAAGTAACAAAAACAATTTTTAATAGTTGATACTGCTCATTCCAGTAATATCACAAATGTGACAGTTTTAATCATATGAAACAAAGGTAATGATTTATTACAAAAAAAATAAGCAGCATTATTTCTAGCCGTGTTTTTCATAATAGCAAATGTTTCTTATTCCTTAAAAATAAATGTAACTTGTGTTCTATTAAGTCAGTAAGAGTGTTTTAATACCTAGCAACCATTCAGATCACCATAGCAACCATTTATCAACACTGTAGCATTCGCTTAGACTACCTTAGCAACCATATAGCAAACTAAAACTTTCAGACATCAAAATAGTTTTTTTTCCGTACAGGCTAGACTTTGTCAAGCTAGCATGTAAAGTTTGTTTTAATGAACTTTGATTTTCTAGCTGCTAATATGATACTGTGAAAATGAATAAAGCCTAGTATGACAGTTACCTTTGCATCGAGGGGACTGGATGTTTATTTCTAGCGACTTCAGCAAAATCAGGCTCACGGCTCTCAGAATCACATCATCCTTCTGCGTCTCGCCGAGACTCGCATCACAGTTCCCACCAAAGAAACTGGCTTGAGCCTTCACAGGGACTTCCTTCAGCCAGCCTGCAGTGACTTCCTGTAGCACACCATCTGCCATGATCAGCGCGTCCTCCGTCAGGCCGTGATCTTCACACTGAGCTTCAGCTGAAGCCCAGTCCTCCCCAGCTCTCCGCAGAAGACTTCTCTTCAGAAGAAGCAGCGCTCGTTTCTTCACGAAGTACTCCACCTCAGCTCTCGCGACGTGAAGCAGCGCTCGCGACTCAACGAATACGACTCTCTGAACTGAAGAGCAGACTCCAAATCTGAGCCGGGCAGCGCTGAGGACTGCAAGCAGGTCAAAGAACTCACACATGGTCTTAGAAAGTTTCACCGGTTCTCTTTTGTGAGGTTCCTGTGTGTCTGGAGTCAGAAGGTTGGTGAACAGGTAAGCGATGGAGGAATCCAATCCAGAAAGAAGCTTCGTCAGAACATCTGTGGAGAAAAACCAGCAGTTGGTATTAAGAGATCATGTCCTCTGAAATGAGAAGGCAAAGTTTGGTTGTTTCAGTCTGATGTAAATCAATGCTCTTTTTATGTCTATAGTAACCTAATATACTGTGTATTAAACCCAGTTATGCATTTATAAATGAATTTTATATTGCTTCAAAAATAACTACAACCTTTGTTGTAATTTATTTGTTACTACAAGCTGTTGTTTGACTGCCATTCCAATAAGAAGAAGTTGTTGTTGTTGTTAATATTAAAAAATACTACTAATAATAAACAATATCTTCCAATATGAAAAGAAAAAAAATAATAATGTCACCTTATAACCATTATTCTTTCATGTTGGTGGGTACTGTTTTATTATTATTATTATTTTAAAAATGATGAAAAAATGGGTTGAAAATATGGTGCCTTTAATAATAATAATATTAATAATAATATCACCTTATAACCATTATTCTTTCATGTTGGTGGGTACTGTTTTATTATTATTATTATTTTAAAAATGATGAAAAAATGGGTTGAAAATATGGTGCCTTTAATAATAATAATATTAATAATAATATCACCTTATAACCATTATTCTTTCATGTTGGTGGGTACTGTTTTATTATTATTATTATTTTAAAAATGATGAAAAAATGGGTTGAAAATATGGTGCCTTTAATAATAATAATATTAATAATAATATCACCTTATAACCATTATTCTTTCATGTTGGTGGGTACTGTTTTATTATTATTATTATTTTAAAAATGATGAAAAAATGGGTTGAAAATATGGTGCCTTTAATAATAATAATATTAATAATAATATCACCTTATAACCATTATTCTTTCATGTTGGTGGGTACTGTTTTATTATTATTATTATTTTAAAAATGATGAAAAAATGGGTTGAAAATATGGTGACTTTAATAATATTAATAATAATATCACCTTATATCCATTATTCTTTCATGTTGGTGGGTACTGTTTTATTATTATTATTATTTTAAAAATGATGAAAAAATGGGTTGAAAATATGGTGACTTTAATAATAATAATATTAATAATAATATCACCTTATAACCATTATTCTTTCATGTTGGTGGGTACTGTTTTATTATTATTATTATTTTAAAAATGATGAAAAAATGGGTTGAAAATATGGTGACGTTAATAATAATAATATTAATAATAATATCACCTTATAACCATTATTCTTTCATGTTGGTGGGTACTGTTTTATTATTATTATTATTTTAAAAATGATGAAAAAATGGGTTGAAAATATGGTGACGTTAATAATAATAATATTAATAATAATATCACCTTATAACCATTATTCTTTCATGTTGGAGGGTACTGTTTTATAATTATTTATTATTATTATTTTAAAAATGATGAAAAAATGGGTTGAAAATATGGTGACTTTAATAATAATAATATTAATAATAATATCACCTTATAACCATTATTCTTTCATGTTGGTGGGTACTGTTTTATTATTATTATTATTTTAAAAATGATGAAAAAATGGGTTGAAAATATGGTGACGTTAATTGGTGAAAAAATAGGTTGAAAATATGGTGACTTTAATAATAATAATAATAATGTCACATTCTAAAGTCTTTTTTTTTTTTCATGTTGCATATACTGTTTTATTATTATATTATTATTATTAATAATAATAACAACATACAACATGAAAAAAATAATGTTTGAGAATACAGTGACTTTATTATTATATTAATAATAATAATATTAATAATAATAATAATAATATAAAACTACCTTCGACAGAATGAAAAAAATAATTGTTTGAGAATAAAGTGATTTAATAAAAATACCTCATCTTATTCTCAAACCATCCAATGTTGGAAGTATTGTTTTTTTTATTATTATTATTATTATTTGTCGTCAAATACTTAGTAAACACGTCATGCTGTATATACTCACAGAGATTTAACCTAGCAACTAATCAACAATTTCTTTTTTACAAGTTAATTTAGAGTTGTGAGTTGTTTTGTTTATAAGTTGTTTTACATTGTAATTATTCCACCTTTTCTACCAGTTTTACATATTCAGTCAATTATCCAAATGTTCTCCTGAGGTCCCGCCTCTCTCGTCACCTTGGATAAAACCGTGAGTAAGCTTTTACAGATAAAGTTACAAAAGCATACTAAAGAAACCCATTCTGAATAATCTGTCTGTGTGTGAAGACTCTTCAGTACCTCTCTGATTCTGGCCTGTGTCTCCTCTCAGCACTGCTTTAATCACAGCGGTCAGGGACCACACACAGGAGTCCAGTTCACTGCTGGCCGCTGATTTCTGAAACACTTCAGCACATGTGTGTCTCCACGTCCAGCTGCTGCCTCCCTATAATCAACCATCACTGCACTTAGTCAAGAGAGAAAAATCAGGAAAGAAAAACAGAGAAAACATCGAAACCTTACAATACTCAGATGGACTACTAGATGATCTGTATGTCTACACACCTGTAAAATGTATAATAGTCCATGTTGGAGTTAATGTACAGTGCAGTACCAATACTCACAGTTATGCGAATGTCATTGATGATATAGACTGATATACACTTCGCAGATAAATGAGACACCAGTTGGTCTTGACAGCTGAGGAGGGTAACCTGCATCAAATATGAACTGTCTTAAGGCTTCATGTATAATCACAAATATGCCCAAGACACAATTTGACATAAGAAGAAATTATGTATATATATATATATATATATATTCTCAACTTATAATTTTTGCATTAATACAATTAAAAAAGTTTCAGTGTGGATTTTTAAAAATTATTTTTAATTTTATAAAATAAAAATATTTTTACAAATATATTTAAAAAATAAAATTATATTTTAATTTCTTCAATGTGTTGGGAGTCCCTGCGTATGCGCAATGTGAACGTGTACATGTGATTGGAGACGACATAAATAAATTTAAAAAAAAATTATATATATATATATACACACACATTTTAATGGAAATATAAATATTTTTTTAAATAATTTCAATCAGCTTTAATTAAAAGCAGTATAATAAATAGCACTTTATAATTTAATATACATAAAATACAATATATATTTTGGACATTAATTTTGCTTCTGTATATGGATATATTTAGAATTAAAAATAATACTGAGATCACGAGAATTTTGTGGAAGAAATGTGCTTAATTGTGACAAAAATAATATCACAATGAAAAAAAAAATTATTAAGCAAAATAAAATGTAATTTTGATTTAGCACACCAGTTTTGCCATCAGATTCATTTCTCCAAACAGCCTCCTCGTCACATCTTCATAGAATATTGTGGCATCTTGTGGCAAACTCTGTGCCGTCAGTCTGCTAATGATGCTCTCAGTAAGAGTGAGACACAAGCACATGACGTCTGTGTGTGTGACTGTTTGACTAACACATGATGAGATTCTGCCGGCCAGCTCTTCACTGCTCAGACTGGGAGCAGATCCTGCACACAACAGCCCGAAAATGCCTTGGAAATCCAATCCTGAGGCATCCATGATGAGACACTGTGAAAATAAAGGGCCAAAAGAATGATAATCAGTAAGTTACGTTTGAAGCACATGTTTAGATGAAAAGACATGTCAATATGGGACTGTGATTTGTTCAGTTCATGTAAGTTATAGTCGGACGCAGCCAGTGAATGATTCCACCTCATCTCTTCAACCACATGCTCTGCCCTTCATTCAGACGATCCAACAGCAGCAAACCTGAATATGGACAATGATCGACAGGCAGAGAGTGTTTCTGATTGGCTAAAAAAGGGCAGGCCACTTCCCGACTCTCTTTTCTAGGCTGTTGCGGTGACAGGGGTGTACAAAGAAATGATATACACTGCCGTTCAAAAGTTTGGGATCAGTAAGCTTTGTAATGTTTTTTAAAGAAGTCTCTTCTGCTCATCATGGCTACATTTATTTGATCAGAAATACAGTAATATTGTGAAATATTATTGCAATTTCAAATAATGGTTTTCTATTTTAATATACTTTTTAAAAATAATTTATTTCTGTGATCAAAGCTGAATTTTCATCAGCATCATTACTGCAGTCTTCAGTGTCACATGATCCTTCAGTAACAATATACACTACCGTTCAAATGTTTTGTCAGTAATAAAGACTTATATTGTTAGAAAAGATTAAATGCTGTTCTTTTTAACTTTATTCATCAAATAAGCAGCAACTGTTTCCAATATTGATAATTTTTTGTCAAATAAATGCAGCCTTGATGAACGTAAGAGACTTTTTTTTTTTTTAAACATTAAAAATCTTCCTGATCCCAAACTTTTGACCAGCAGTGTACCCGTTATTCACAATTTTGACTTTGTAATTCTCTAAAACGTGCCAAATTCAGTCGGACTTAAACGTATACCATGAAATCTGTCCTGAAGGTGGTGAAACTTGTTATTATGGCTATATTTAAAATGTTTTAATAAAAACACGAACGCATTAAGTCATAATACAACCCTTTGTACTTATGTTTAAATTAAAATTGTAAGGAAAAGTATGATTCATTTGGTAATTAATTTAATAATTACACAAGGGGGTATTCAGTTATACTATTTAGTTATATAACGTATACACAAACACACAATTAAGGACATTTTGTGTCCATTCGCTGACAGCATCTATGATGCATTTCCAATTTTCTCAATATCCTTTCTAATTTTCCCGAAAAGCCACTGCATCAGTCTCTGCAATTCATCTCGACAAGTTCATAAATAGAAAAATAACCTCATATTTAGAGGGCCGCAGAGTTTGAAACGTGGCGGTTTTTACGTTTGAATCCAACGACGCACGTGAACTGTAGAAAGACGCTGCGTACAATCATAATTCGTATTGTAACGAAGAGCTTTTTGGACTTCTCATTCATAATCCAAGGGAATATTTCTTCACCTCTGACACAAAATCCACTCCGCTACGAGCCTCCATAAACCACATGGAGTGCTGTTTGCCGTTACACAGCCACAATTGTCGCAAAACTCTATTATTTTGCAGCGGTGTGATGTATGGGTGACGTACTTGACAGCTCGAATCCGATTGGCTGTTGCGGTTTGAAGCCTTGGAGACATGATGTTCATGGCTACCTGACTGTATTTGCACTCTGTATGTATATTATATATTTTTTATTTCACTGTCTCCCGAGTCTTTATTATGCTAATTAATCAGATAATGTTAATTTTACCCTCTAGCCGCAGGTTTAGAGAGTTTGAGTAACTTTAAAAGCAGTGTTGTTTTGAAAATGGTAAATAACCGCTGGCTAAATGCTAACTATGCTAATGCAGTAAGAGTACATGTCTATCACAGAGTTTGCCCAATTCTCCTTCAGTTTAATGGTCGTCTTCAGAATTATCGTTTCAAATACTTGGACGGTATCAATGTAAATTATGCCAGTCTCTAAAAAGAGCCGCTTTAGTGTTTGTTTTAGGGTGATTTTAGCTGCCACAGCTGCTTTAGCACACCAGCTAACAGATTCATTGTTCTCAGTGCAGCAGCAGCAGCAGCAAACATGATTATTTACCTTTTGTTGAACCTATTCGAGGAGGTGAAATGGTTACACCGCCGTTGATGGTGTATATCACGTATGTTTGGGTTGTTATAGGTAAATGTAGGTGTGCAAATGCTCGCTGCAGCTGGTTTTTTTAGACAATAACATAGTGAACTGAAAAGGGTGGCAGTTAATATTTACTCCTAAACAGAGAGATGATTAATGTAACGTGACAGATGAGTGTGTAAATAAGACGCCATCATATAGGTGTGGCTAAATGCATCATTTATACATATAAATGCATCTGCTATGTAAATGATGAATATTATATATAAACGAATCATGTGTATACTTACCTATGCTGATATTTCTGTATTGCTCTGCTTCTCTAGAATGAAGATCTGAAGTGGATGTGAATATGGATGCAGAGCGCAAAGACTGTTTCAAATCTACAAGACATTAATGAACGGTAATTTTGGCTCATAGCTGAGCTTTGTAAGGATCTGTAGACCATGGCCTGTTTTTAAATGTAATTTCTATCTTATTGTGTTATATTGTGTTGTCTAAGCTTTTTCATGAATGGTTTGATGATTTTGGCTTGATGCAATGCAACTAACATTATCAGTGCTTTTCATGCAAGAATACTGTTATTATCTCACAGGTGATGTGTGCAGTTATTTTCTTTCATACTGTTTTTCGCAATCAAAGATAATTAATGTTTAGCCTATATATTTCTATCATGTTGTCCTATTAAAAATATTTTGACAGATCTGCATCAAAGACATTTTGAAATATAGTGTATATATTTATAGTAATAACTCTCACAAATGTATTGCTTGTATGATATTAAGAACTTTGACACTCTTGTAACACAAAGAGTAATTTGTAGTTGTAGTGTTTGTTTGTTTTTTGTATTAGGATTTTACCAGATGTATTTTTTTTAAGATAGATTTTGAAATTACTGTTTATTTTAATGCTGTGTCCAGTAGCCTAGTTAACAATATAATTGCTATGTAGCCTGCACATTTATTTATTTATTTAAAGATTTTACAATGCATCTGTATTACAGCATTCAAATTAACAGTAATTCTGAAATCTTATATAATATTTTATATTTTAGTTTTTCTTTTTTCCTCTTTATTTTTAATGAAGCATTGTGTACATAGCAAATTAATGAGGTATAGATATTAGAAACTAGGCTGATTCCCCTAAAATGTGTAAACACCGTGAACTCTGCATTTTCATAACTTTCATTGCTTTGTTTGTTTGAGAGATCAGACCGACATATTAATGTCAGGCTCAACCAATAAAGTGAGTTTGAGGCGGGACTGCCTGTTTATGTGATCGATGTGGGATGGTGTTTGGGGAAAATTTGTTCTTGCAATTCCTTTAAACGTGCTATGCATAATTAATTAATCGTGCTTTGATTCAAAATGGTGAGCTTGTCTATCAGTGTCCTTCGTAATGTCGCGCGTGTGTGCTTGTCTGCAGGGACACAGGAGCGTCTGAGCCCCGTACTGCGAGATGTGACAGGATGCTGAACCATCACTGCAGAAGGAACCCAGAGTTACAGGAGGAGCTGCAGATCCAGGCGGCGGTGGCGGCCGGCGATGTCTACACCGTCCGCAAGATGCTGGAGCAGGGCTACTCGCCCAAGATCAGAGACGCCAACGGCTGGACGCTGCTGCACTTCTCTGCGGCGAAGGGGAAGGAGCGCTGCGTGCGCGTGTTCCTCGAACACGGAGGTAAAGGGTTTGGTTTTTATGATGGGAGCGAGATGTGCAGATCTGATTTAAAGCATCAGTTGGTAAGAAAATCTAAAATGACCAGCCTAGTTTAACATTTATTAAAAACTGTGGTTGGTTTGCTCCGCTTGACTCTTAAAAGAATAAGTTCACCTAAAAAACTGTCATCATTTGCTCCCCCTGAGTCATTCGGGCTCTTTATTATTGTCCTTATTATGCGAAACGCATAATAGGCAAAATGTACAAGCTTCTCTTTTCCACACAACAAAAGCAGATGGAAATTTAAACTGCCAAGGTCCAAAAGGGACAAACAAGAATCATGAAAATTTGTGTTTTGGGTTCCTTTTTGTGTGTATTAATCACAATTTAATTGTAAATATGATCCCTCTCATGTAAATTTGATTTCAATTACTTTTCTCAATGATAACCAGTTTACAATGGTGATATTTTACTCTCTTGCACTCTATTTAGGTTCCCTATCTTGTCATCTTTTATAGCTTGAAACACTAAACTAGTATTGTGCTTTTTTGATAGACTGCTGTTCTGAAATGTTCACGTCTCGGTGTAGTAATGCATGCTAGACGATAGGGGACGCTATAAAACAGGGCTATTTTTGTCGAAACATCTGCAGATAGAATGATCCACAATCAAGTGTTTAACTTTGCAGCTGCGAAGCCATCTGTACTGATTGAGATGCATCAATTTACAAAGACTGTAATCAGAATAATCAATGCCATGATATAGTGCTTTGATTAAAATATAGTAACATTATGCAAATTATGTAAATGTCTGCATACTCTACACAAGCTAATTATACACATCAAAGCTCTTTATATATGTTATGTTTGCCCAGTGCATACATTTGGCATATATGGCCAACTTAACATAATGTTAGGGCTGTCGTGATTTATCAGGGTTATCATGATCATTGAAAGTCTATAAATATCCTAAATATAACTTAATAATATAACTTTAAAATTGTGATTTTTTTTTTCTTTGTATTTTTTTCTTTTTTTTTCAAAAGTCATTGAAGTTACTGTAGTCAATATAAATGTTTCAAGTTATGTGCACACATAATGTAACATATTTCATTCTATAAATTTCTCTTTACAAGGGCAAATTCTGTAAAAAGGTTTCCGTATTTATTAGTCACAAATTACTGGAAATCAATTGGATAAATCATGGAAATTCTTTCGTTAAAAGCTGTTGGAACGCAGATTTATGACATTTTAGCTAGCTAATTGTTCATACAAATAATTGTAATCAGCAGTTTAGTTATATAAAGTATCTTAAGTCCATTTTCCATTCATTTTTTTTTGCTAATCCAACCCTCATAGTATAATAATGCATTATTAACTTTTTATTATTTTGAAGTTATTGATTTTGTTAATATTTTTATTAATATATTTTAATTCATATGAAAAATATATATTATTTGTATTATGCATTTGTAATGCATTTATTAATTTGTTAAATTTTATATGCCATTTTAAGACTTTAACATTTGGAGTACATTCTAAAATGTCAGAGCTCTCATGTTACTGCAACAAAAAGAAGGACAAATAAATGCACATTTCATGGCACTTTTATATTTGCTTATGTAATAATTATAGCAGGCCTAATAAATATAAATATATAATTTTTACAAGCATTTTTTTTCTTGCTTGATATTCTTGGTTGTCAAGTCACCTTTATTTCTACAGCGCTTCATACAATACAGATTGTTTCAAAGCAGCTTCTCAGTAATGAACAGGAAAATAACAGACTCAATCATGCAAAGTTTTTCAGTTTGATTAGGTTTTCGGTTGAATGAGTTCAGTTTTGTCATGTGTTTATCTCTCCAGCGGATCCCACCGTGAAGGATTTCATCGGAGGCTTCACAGCTCTGCATTACGCCGCCATGCACGGCCGCGCCCGCATCGCCCGCCTCATGCTGGAGTCCGAGTACCGCAGCGACATCATCAACGCCAAAAGCAACGACGGCTGGACCCCGCTGCACGTGGCGGCCCACTACGGCCGCGACTCCTTCGTGCGTCTCCTCTTAGAGTTCAAAGCCGAGGTGGACCCGCTCAGCGACAAAGGCACGACGCCGCTCCAGCTGGCCATTATCCGCGAGCGCTCCAGCTGCGTGCGCATCCTGCTCGACCACAGCGCCAACATAGACATTCAGAACGGCTTCTTGCTGCGTTACGCCGTCATTAAGGGCAACCACTCGTACTGCCGCATGTTCCTGCAGCGGGGAGCGGACACTAACCTGGGCCGGCTGGAGGACGGACAGACGCCGCTGCACCTGTCGGCCCTCAGAGACGATGTGCTGTGCGCGCAGATGCTGTACACGTACGGAGCCGATACCAACACGAGGAACTACGAGGGCCAGACGCCCGTGGCTGTTTCCGTCAGCATGTCTGGCATCAGTCGGCCCTGTCTGGACTTTCTGCAGGAGGTCACAAGTAGGTTCACCCTCTCTTTAATAAAATTGACCCTTATGACTGGTTTTGTGGTCTAGGGTCACATATGTAGTCCGGCATCATTGTTCCTTGAATTTTTTATTTTTTTGATTAGATGGTAATTTGGGACACAGATTAGGGAGGGTCTCAGTATTTTATATGACAGATTTGAGGTCAGTCTCTGATCGTTTAGCACCACCAACAGACCAAATTTTCATGTACATTTTAGCATGTAACTTTTGAACCAGTTGACCCTGAAACAAACTTGAAACTCTGTTTTTAATGTGACTAGATTTGTGCGCTGTTTTGAATCTTATTTTCAAATTCAGACAGAATTTATATTAAAAAATGTACCATTTTTGGAGTTTTCAAGTAAAATTAATTTTTAAACCAAAGGTAAAGATCTAAAACGTCAGAGATAATTACAAAATAAACTTTCATAACATGATATTAGATACCCAGTCTTAATTTCACATTATAATCAAAGTTTAATTTTTGTTACTTTGTTTCTTTCGTCAGTTTTCTTAATAGTTTTTATTACCTTTTGTAGAGAACACCTTTCTGCTAGAATTATTTATTTTATTTTTATCTATTTTTATTAAGAAAAAGCTTCATTCAGCTCAACTAAACTATTAGCTTCTAACTTTTAAAGTCAAATTTGAAGCTGTAAAACTTCAGTATTTATCATATCATATTCAGTATATATTGTATAATCATTCTTATTATTAATAATATTATCATTTAACTTTAAATATTTTCATTTCTAACAACAATGAATTAGCTTGCCGTAGCACATTCTAAGACACTCATTCCAGTTAATATTACAGCTATACGTTAGAAGAGCGCTCCACTCAAGTCGAACATGAAGCATTAAAACTCCAAGGGTTAATAGCAGGAGTATCCTCAAAGGAGCTCATATTCCCTCTTTTCTCCAGAAAAATGTCACATCTCACGGAGAGCAGCGTCTGATTCTGTCAATCTGTAAGTTGAGCAATGGCCGAGTCAACGGCATTATGATCTCTCTCCCCCACACAGAACAATCGGCCGTCTGAGAAAAGCCAGCAGTGTTACCTGAAGCACTAATGAGCAAGTACGCAACAATGGCCACATTCCTGCGCTTCGCTTCAACTTTGTTTTTTTTTTTTTTTTCATTCTTTTACAAACTTTTTATTTGAAAAAAACATTCTATGAAACATTTAATTTTTTAATGACAATAATGAATGAACTATATACATTCATATATAGAATTATTATTATTATTAATATTATCATTTAATTTGAAATATGTTTTTCTAACAGTAATGAATTAGCTTGCCGTAATTTAATATATTTGTCACCTGTCGCAGACATTTACTCGCTGTCAGCTCATTCAGAGCGATCTCATTTCACCTTGATTATTTATTAAAAAAGCACTTCGGCGGCTGTATTTACATCGAGGACTCAGACTTTGAGAGCATGACTTCATGTCTTGAAGGGAGTGACAGTGCGCTGCGTGAGAATATGCACTGATTTCATTTCTGTTTCTCTGCCGTCACCTATCGTTGAGAGCTTTTGCTAAGGCATGGAGACTGACAGAAGACAGGGGCTGCAGATGGCCGTCTCCAGCCCTTTGTAGTGGTTTTTCCAGCTGGCTTCATTTGTGTGCACACAGCCTGTGCCATATTGTGTTGGGACGGGAAAACTGGCCCATTAAAACTGATAACCCTGTGCACCGGTTCCTGGAACTCATTCCTGATATCTTTTATGACGACAAATGGACAAAAAAGGTTTTTGTGTGTGTGTGTGTGTGTGCGTGCGTGCTTTTTTTCCTTCCCTGATGTCCACTTATGAAGTTTTTTTGTGCCAGAAACAGTCATTTTTCATGGCCATTTTTTCTCTCTCTAACCATTTGAATTAAATGTCTGTTTTTTGTTGCTGTACCTATAAGATGTCTATGCAAATTTAGTTTTATCTGCTCCTTTCTTAAATAACAGGCACTTTGTGACAGATTTCTACATTATTATATTTTTAATTTATTTAATCAAATTTTTGATTGCACCGTTTTTTTTATATATCCCACTTATAATGTTGCTTAAATTTTTATATTTTTTGTCAGAAGCAGTGATTTTTTTTCATGCTCCTTCCTTAAGTAACATCCTATTTGTGACAGATTGCTACATTTATTATTGCATATGCATACTTATATATTGCACAAAAGTATTTTCTGTGCTTTTTTTCCCTCCCTAATGTCTTCTTATGATGATGGTAAAGTTATTTTTCTCTCTTTCTGACCCTTTTCAAACCCAGATCAGAACAGTACAAAGAATCATATAATAAAACATGCAAAATACAATACAATAATATAAGCATATGCATACTTATATATTGCACAAAAGTATTTTCTGTGCTTTTTTTCCCTCCCTAATGTCTTCTTATGATGTTGGTAAAGTAATTTTTCTCTCTTTCTGACCCTTTTCAAACCCAAATCAGAACAGTACAAAGAATCATATAATAAAACATGCAAAATACAATACAATAATATCAAATAAATTGATAATCAAGCAGATTTAAAAAGATAAGTCTGTTTTGACCTCTTAAAACAAGCCAACGTTGGGGAATTTCTCATTTCTGTTCAGATGTGGAGCTAAAACTCGACCACCCGTAGTTTTTAATTTATATCTACTTAATTTAATTCATAAAAGACCGCCTGTCCTTCTTACATTATAAATCAGCTTTAAACTATTATTTTGAATTCCTAAAACATCATGAACCAAGTTTAACATATTATTAACCTGACAAAGTCAAAGCATTTGGAGCTTGAACAGTGTTCATTTCATGCCATAAGTTTCATTTAGTATGACTTATGTGATGATGCCATTCACTTTTTGCATCTCATATTTAATGTTGTATTATGAGTTAATTTTCTGTCTGTCTGATGAGTTTGGTGCTTCTGCACGCACTGTATTTAGTTCATTTATTCAGTGTATTTGATGAAAGTAGTACAAATAAAGTTTTTATTGAATGTTTCTCTATTATATGTGACCCTGGAGCACAAAACCGGCCTTAAGTCGCTGGGGTATATTTGTAGCAATAGCCAAAAATACATTGTATGGGTCAAAATTATCGAGTTTTCTTTTATGACAAAAATCATTAGGATATTAAGTAAAGATCATGTTCCATGAAGATATTTTGTAAATTTCCTACTGCAAATATATTAAAACTTAATTTTTGATTACAAATATTGCCCTATCCTAACAAACCATACATCAATGGAAAGCGTATTTATTCAGCCCTTCAGATGATGTATAAATCTCAATTTCGAAAAATTGACCCTTATGACTGGTTTTGTGGTCCAGGGTCACATATTATATCGGTAGCCACCAATCTTTTGTGTTTTTTCTCTGTTTTTAGATGAAAATAGTTGAGTAAATGCTTGCACAGGTGGTCACACAGGAATGCAGTCATATTTGATTGACTCTAGACGTAGCTGGTGTTTAACCTGACACTCGTTGTGTTTCAGGGCAGCCCAGGACTTTGCAGGATCTGTGCAGGATAAAGATCCGGCAGTGCATCGGCCTGCAGAGCCTGAAGTTTCTGGAAGAGCTGCCCATTGCCAAGGTCATGAAGGACTACCTGAAACACAAGTTCGACAACGTTTGACAGAAGCCGACCTACTCGTTTCTGTAGGTTCCCTTAAGACTCTATGCAAACTCGAAACCTCTGGGAGCAGGTGCAGCGTTTTGTACAAGCGGAGTGAAATGCTTCTTTACGGAGGAACGACTGTGGATCGAGAAGCACTGTAATAGCCACGTTGATTCGTTCACTGAAAGTGTCGTGGAGAAATTCCTGACCCATGAGAGAAGAAAAATGCAGACGTTTGATTTGTACCAAATATCTTTTTTTGTTCTTAAATCAGCACGGCCTTTGTAAGTATTTGACTTTTTTTATCGGCTACATTCTCAGACAAGGAAAAGATAAAAACCTTTTAAGCTATCCAGAGAAATTGGCAAATATGCAGGTCACCCTCATAAAAATATGCATGTGCTATTGTTATTTTTGCTGTGGAGAAATCATTTCCAACCACAGTCCAATAAGTTATTAACCCTCTGTTGAGAATCCGATTCGTTTGTATTGAAAAGCGTACCGAAAACCCCACAGGCTCTCGATTCTTCTCTGTAAACTTTTTTTTTCTTTCTCATTTAATTTCATTTTTAACAAATATTTTTTTTATTTACAAGCTGTCAATATCAGAGGTGCTTGGCCTTAGTTTCCATTAAAAGGTAAAGAAAAAGTCCTAGTTGCGAGAGGTCTACAAAGGTGAACATGTATTACATGCATAAATCGTTAACAAACTTTCTGTAAATATTTGTGTCATATGTACAGCAGATATTTTTTAGACTATTTAAGCCACAAGCTTGTGTTTTTGGGGGTTTTGTTGAGTGGTTCTGTGTTTTTCATGTGACCTGTCAAGGGCTTTGATGTGGGAACGTCCGGATCTGTGATTAAATGGAAAATTAGTGATGCTTAATTGTAATTGGCCATCAGTTTCTTGTTATTATGCACATGAAAAATCTCTTAAATTTTTGCAATCAGTAACTTAATATGTTTATTAATGATTTGAAATGCACTTAATTTTTACAAAATATAAGCATTAGTCAAAGGTCTGCGTAGCACTCAGTTTATTCAGTGCATTTGGCACTTCATCAAGCAAGCGTTCAGTTTGTTTCATATGTTTTTCAGTCAGATCGCAGCTTTATTTTTGATCTTTCCCCCTAAAATCTCAGTCAGCGGGAGAGACTCTCGCTCGCTGCTACTCTAGACTATTTTCTCCAGACCGGTTCGAACACTAGCTGCCTTTCCTTCAGTCCGTGACGCAGTACAGCTACAGCATTTCACCACATCATGAACACACTTCAAGTGCATTAAAGTGACCTGCCACAACATTTAAATTATTTCTGTTTTTAGTTAAGTTTAGGGCGTTTGTTGGGACTGAAAGCATCTCTGGGTGACTGCTTGCTACCGTAATGTATTCAGAAGCAGGTGTGGAGGACTGATTTGAGAGCCAGGGAATGTTATATGGGTTTTGTCTTCCACAGCTTCAACTACTGAATGTATATAATCTGCTGTTTCTCATGTACATGTGTGTGAATAAATGGATCTCATAATGTCCCCGTTTGTTATTTTTCGAAGCCTTATTGCTGTGTTTGAAGCAGTAATTGTGCCGTGTTCATCGATTTGCAGCCATTTTTCTAGAGTTTGATGACTTTCTAATAAAATGTCTGCGAAAAATGCCGATTTCACTGAATTTATTGTTCATTTGGTAATCATATTGTCTTCTAGGATATGCGGTCATTGAAATCTTTATTTTTAACTCCAGTACAATCAGCCCTAAAAGTTCATTTTACAGGAATCTTCCAGGTAAGACTCAACTTCAAATCAAAATATACCCTATTTATCCATTTTAAATGTTTGTAATCGTTAACAGTATGTAGTGACTTGTTTCTTTTTCAGCTGACGTCACAAATCCTTCTTACTACTTTGGCGTCTTCATCTGCCTGCCTCTATTTGGTATGTAATGCCACTTTTAATGAACCAAAAAAACTCCTGTTCTACTTTTTTTTTTCTTTTGTATATCCTGTTTTACTCACACATACATCAGATCACAAAAGTAAATGAGTTGCAAATGGCATTTCACTTTATCTTCAAGCTTTTTGTGCAATACTGTAAATAACCAAAGAGTTAACGTATATGTATTTTAATATATTTTCTTTGTTAGTGCAAAAACAAACACCACCCGCATTAGCAGTTCATCCATATTGAAATGTAGTTCCACCATCCAATTTATATGAAATTCATTTAAAATAATCTTGTGTTCAAATCCTTTAACATAGATTTAACTTCTCATTTCTGCTCTTAAAATTACTTTCATTTTTCTTTTGTTTATTTTATTTTTATTTATGCTTTTGCAAGCTGAGAAACAGGTTGAAATTATTTTCTGTTTTAATCAACAGTTATTACTTTATTATAATATAGCGTATTTATGTTTATATTTACATTTATTCATGATGCATGAATTCATTCATTCATCATTTAGCATTTGCTATTGATAAATCAGTCACCGTTTTGATGATAAGATAATATAGCATGTTTTGATTGGGTTTCCCACAGTTATGAAATTTGATAAAATTGTGTTTTCCAAGCCTGGTAACATCCTGGAAATTAATACAAAGTCCTGTACATTTCTGTAGTGAACATAAATGTTTTAAAGGTGACATATCATGAAAATCTGACTTTTCGAGGTTTTAAGTGCTATAATCAGGTACCAACCAAGGAAACGTGAAAAAGATGAACCCAGTAACTTTGTTTTGGTAAGACTTTTTCTGCAAGCGTCTGAGAAAACGAGCGCGTCTGATTTCGCTCCCTTGGTCGCATGATTTCAGCGCGATAAACATGATAATCAGAAGGGGGGCGGGGAGCAGCAGCTCATTTGCATTTAAAGAGCCAGGCCTGAAAAACAGCGTGTTTCTGCTTCCACTCAAAATAGACATTTTCAAAATTTTATAATAAATGATCTGTGGGGTATTTTGAGCTGAAACTTCACAGACACATTCTGGGGACACCAGAGACTTATATTACATATTGTAAAAAGGGGCATAATATGTCTCCTTTAAGTGATGCTTAAAACCTTCTCCAGCAATCACAAAGGAAACTGCATTGATGGTAAAGTGTGGGAAGCCTGCTTTGATGCATGGAATCACGTTTTCCCGTGATCTCAGGCTCATATCTCACTGTTTTGCCTCCCAAACCAAAGCTCTGGCGATGCTTGAGAGGAAAGCTCATCCGTACCGCGTAGAAATCACAATGCCTGGCAGCGTATCACAGCTTATTCCAGAGATCTGAATGTATTGTTTACTCGTGAACGGCTGATGTTTTGTTGGAAAGTGATCTCTCTCTCTCTCTCTCTCTCTCTCTTTCCCAGGAATGTCATTCTTAAATAAAAAGGTTTCTGCTTTCCTGCTTCTCTTTAGCCGAGCCCGTGCCAAAACTCAGCAGTGACCTAAGGACACCGTGATATATTTGCGCATTCCTAACACAAAAACATGGGCCGCTATCATTTATCGAATCACAGGTAACATTACACGATAAAACAATGGCATCTCTCTGTAGGCCGTGTTTCCTTGCAGACATGCAGAACAATGCAGCTATTGTTGGTGGTCCTGCCGGATGGATGTATCCTCGGCCGCGCTGGAAACAGCTCTTCCTTGAGCCCGGGCCACGGCTTTAGGGAAACTCCCTGTCTGTGGGCATATATCTGTGCGGAAGAGGACAGATCCATTTGAATGTGTGGGCCGTCTGGAACTGACTGGCGGTAGCAGACAGGAGGCCACACAAGGAAATATGCAAAGCACACTCAACAGTGCTTTATGTGTCTTGGATGGAGGTTATCGCTAAGTGTGTAGGAAGAGGCGATAACTGTAAAGGTCATTAGACTTTTTTCTGATGTGTCAGTCTATAAAAGAGCGCTAATGTCGGCTTTGATTGTTTCAACAAATACATTTCTTCTTTAGAAGTGATGTTGACTATTGGTAAGCATCACTATTATATTGCTCATATTTAGGTTTAGTGATCTTAACACCGATAAGCATGAAACTTTATGTGTGTAACTCGTCCAAGCATCACAGAAAATGTAAAGATATAAGTGTCTTATTATTATCTACTGCAAAAAAGAAATAAAAATACTGTACAATCAAATGATTAAAATTCCATGTTCTATTTCCTTCCTGTTTCCGTCTTTTGAACATTTGCGAGCAGGCTGGGTGATGTATTCGCATTTCTTTTTGCGTTTAAAAATCACAGATTCAATGTTCGGTAAGTTCATCATCATCAATAAGCTGCTGATGATGATTATTTTTATATTAAGCATTTTGTCTGAATACTCTTTATGAACTGTGAAACCAGCCTACTTGAAAACAGTAAAAAGTTTTACAAAAGGCTGACAAGTGTCAGTTGTATTTAGAAATGACAAAAAATAAATCAAAATCATGTTTGGTGCAATTCCATTAACACAGATTAACAATATTTGCAAAAGTGATATATATATATATATATTAAAATTTTTATTTTTTATTATTATTATTCAAATGTCTCTCTTTCTCTATAGCTGTAGAGTTTACTCAACATTTCTCCCAGTGTCTCTTGCTGTCCCACACACTTTTTTTTATCAGCATTGGTATGTGCCACACACCGCTGGGTCACGAACAAGCATATGTATACACTTCTATAGATGTATAGGCTATATTTAAAATGTGATTTTTTTTTCTTATTAATATTTCTCCCATTCTTGTAGCTATTACACACACATCTATATTTTATAATAATTTTACAATAATTCTGAAATTCAACCCAAAATGTAAACATTTGTTTTAATTTAATTATGAATAAATACACTTTAATAAGTACGCTTTTTCTCCACTCGCCTGTTCCGGTACCGTTTTTTATCAGGTCTTCATTTAGCTGGTGAAAGCCCAGACTGGGGCTCATGCGGGACGTAGCAGTGCAGAACGGAGTGAAAGGCCAGTAGAGTGTCCTTCCCTCCCTCTGGACCGCGGGAATAAAAGCCCGCGACCGTAGAGTTCGAGACCCGCCCGCGGCGTACACTGTCGGCCTTTGTGCTCTCGCACCAGTGTAATGTAAAGCCCCTCATTTTAAGAGCAGCGTACAGGTGCATCGGGGGAATGAGACTATAGAAGGTCGACTCTCATTAACGAGAGAGAGAGAGCCATGGGACAACAGATGTGTGACTTAATAACAGCCGTCTTATGCTATGGAGGACACGAATCGATTGTAATGAGATTAAAAGCAAAACATTACAGTCACACTGGACTGAATGTGTTTCTCATGACCTTTTCGATCTGAAGGCCTCTGCTAAAATGCTTACTAATTATTTTGCAGACAAATAGGCTATAAACACCTGCATTGTGGAAATAGTCTAATAATAAGCATTGAACGCATTGAAGCATTGAATTTTTATATATATTTTTATTTTTTTACATTTTACCTTATTTGTATATTTGTATAGTTGTATTTTATATTTAATCTGTATCTATCTGTATTTATGTTCTACTGTTAGTGTTATCTTTATGCGCCAAGGGTCTGAGAGTAACGCAATTTCAATTCTCTGCGTGTATGTGCTGTACATGTGGAAGAATTGACAATAAAGCAGACTTGACTTGACTTGACTTGACTTGAACATCTCTTAAAAGTCATTACCCAGCTAACAAAAATATGTTATGAGAATGTTTTGATAACGTTCCCATTTAGTTATTTCTGAATGTTCAGAACCTCCAGTATTTATTTATTGTCTTGGTTATGCGTAGATTGAAGGAACATTCTATTTGATCATTTTGCAAACATTATGG